GAAAGAGAGAGAGAGAGAGAGAGAGAGAGAGAGAGAGAGAGAGAGAGAGAGAGAGAGAGAAATTGAATTTGAGTATTTGGGAATCGGTTTTCATATTTCCCCTTGCAAATGTACTGCAAATCCCAGGCTAGCTGGCCTATTCTCCACCTCCCATTTCACAATAGGCACTTTCTTTCTCTACTTTTCTTTTTTTTTTAAGCTCAAGAGCAATTTTATTGGAATTTAAAAGAAATCTAAGGCTGTAAATCTCTTCTGGCCTCCAGGGGCACCAGGTATGCCCGTGGTATAGAAACACATGCACCTGTGGAAAAACCCATACATATAAAAAAAGTAAAAATTAATCTAAAAAAAGTTTATTTAGAAATCTTCTTAAGCCGGGCAGTGGTGGCGCACGCCTTTAATCCCAGCACTCGGGAGGCAGAGGCAGGCGGATCTTTGTGAGTTCCAGGCCAGCCTGGGCTACCAAGTGAGTTCCAGGAAAGGCGCAAAGCTACACGGAGAAACCCTGTCTCGAAAAACAAAAAAAACAAAAAACAAAAAAAAACAAAAAAAACAAAAAACAAAAAACAAAAACTTCTTAAAAACATACGCTGTTCTACTTTGGGGTTCTCTGGTTACCCCACTGATTTATGTATCTCTCCATCAGCAGCCACAGTGTCTGGGTTACCTGAGTGAGGAGGTGGGGTGCCTCCTTCCACTTTATCTTAAACAAACAAAAACCTCAGAACAGAACATGGTGCACACACTTGTAGTCCCAGCCCCCGGGAGGTTGAAGCAGGCAGATCAAGGAGTTAGAGACCAGCCTGAGCAAGACAGGGAGACTACCTCAAAAAACCAAAGACAAAAGGCCCAAAGTCTCAGTGGTAGAACATTTCCCAACCATGAGCAAAGCCTCTAGATTGCTCTCAAGCACTGAGGAAGAAACACTGTTTAGCTGCTGGAGAATTCATGACTTCCATATACTATGTCTTAGGATAAGCATGTCTTGTGTGTGTGTGTGTGTGTGTGTGTGTACGTGTACAAGCACCTGCATGCACAACATAGAGTGGCCATGGACAGTCTAAGGGTGTCATTCCTCACAGCACGTTCACTCTGGCCTGGAACTCACAGCCAGTGAATCCTACACATCTGCCTGGCTCCACCTCCCAGTGCTGGGATTACAAGTGTGTATCTCCATGTCGCTGGCCTTTTTATATGGCTTCTAGAGGGCAAATTCAGGTCCACATGCTTCAGGGCAAGCACTGTAGCCACAAAAACCTTGTTGGCATTATAAAAGGAATTCCATTAAACCTATGAATCTGTTTGGGGAGACCTGACCTCCTTACTATATTACTATATATATTACTAATTACTAGTCAATGAACATAGTACTATGTTAACATATTAATAGTACTATCCTTACTATATTAAGCTATACATTTATTATACACATTACTAATTACTAATTACATATATATTACTAATTACTGATTATGTATATATATTACTAATTACTGATTATATATATATATATATATATTACTAATTACCAATCCACGGATATTGTAGGTGGTCTATTTATTCAGGTCGTTTGTGATTTATTTCATTAGAATTTTTGTGATTGTTAACATGTGTGTGTTAAGTTTATACCTAAGTATTTATTTATAATGCCTGTAAATGGACTTCCCCCCTAAACTGCGGGTCTGTTTGTTCATAGTGTACAGCATGCGGCAAATTCTTAATGGGACAAGAAGTTCTGGTGATCTGTGTTGGCCCCGGAGAGTCTAGGGATAGGTGACAGCCGTATCCTTCATGGTCTATTTGGTAAAGTGAAGAAAGAGCCAGGGTAAACGATCACAGTGCTGTGGCTTTATAGGCTTGTTAGTAGGTAGGCTGCATGAAATGGCTCGTGTACAAGATGTATAAACAGCAGAAAGCAAGCCAATCAGATAAGGATGACAGTTTCGAGCCTGGCAACCTGAGCTCAATCTCTGCATCCCACCCAAAAAGGAAGAAAGCTGAGCTGTCTTCTGACGTCACACACGCCCCTCAAAATCATTCCCCCGCCCACCCAACCCCCCCCTCCCCCGCGCGCACGCACGCACGCACACACACATATACACACACATACACACACACACACACACACACACACAATAAAAAGATTTAAGGAGGGTAGAGAGACGGCTCAGCAGTTAAGCGCACTTGCTGCTCTCCCAGAGGGCCGGAGTCTGGTTCCTGTAGCCTGTGTCAGGCAGCTCAGGACTGGAACCTCCGCTCCAGGACATCTGACACCTCTTCTGGTCTCCTGCGCCTGTGCGCGCGCGCGCGCGCGCGCGCGCGCGC